TGAGGCTGAAAGGGATGTCAGCTTTGGCCTAGTCAGCTTCCCAACTTGAGGCAGGACAGATCATACCTTCATCACCGATGAGAGGAGTTGGCCTGATTCCTTTCTGAAGGCAGATGGCCCACCTGCTCATCGTGAGAGCAGGACACAGGTAGGATTTATCGGCCAGGATTCCTCAAGGGTACATATTCAGCTATCCCAAAGACCACCTTTATCCACATCCGAACCCCATGGCAACATGCTGCACCTTATTTCTGCCGCTTCCTCTCTTGTCCAGAACAATTCACTTCTGATCCACATCCACCAACAAGAAGAACATAGAAATAGTGGAGGGATTTCAAAGGGAGCTGCAAGCAGAAGCCACAGCTAGACCGCAAGAATTACATGATAAGATTTAAGAATGAAAAAGTATTTATCATGACAGAGAGGAGATAGTGAGAGGATCTGATCACTCTGTACAGACACATACACACAGAAAAGACAGCTGCTGGCAGGAGGCATTTAGACCTTTCTGACAAGGATGGAGTGAAAGCAACAACTTTCATCTTGAAATCAGAAGCAACTTCTTAGCAGAGAGGGTTACTCGATATGAGAATAGCTCAGCAGGGGAGATGGTGGACTCATCACCTCCTGTATCCTGTAACATGAGATAAGAGAGCCTGCTGAAGGACATGTTTAATCCAGTTTCTGTGAAAAAATGCTGGTACCTGTATGAGATATTAGGGAAGGAAGGACAGAATGGGGGCAGGCTGGCTGCAGCGGTACACTGAGGGCTCTGTAGGCAAACCCTGAGTCTCCCAGCACTTGTTCCCTTCTTTACTGGACATGGGAAGGACACATAGCATCCACACTGGTAAGAGAATAAAGGAATCAAGATCAAGCTTCAGGGTTTCACTGGGAGCTGTGACAGGGTCAGGAAGGAAATGTGCCTTGCACCACACAACTGCTCTGTGTTGTAATTCACCTTCCCTCAATGTATCGTGGTTGGCCATGGTTAGAGCAAGACTGGGTGGCCCTTTCCACCAAGCACCCTGTTTTTAAGCTGTTTATTTGCTATGTTTGACTCAAAATCAAATTGGCGTAGGGAGACATTTTTTCTAGGTTAGTCTCAGGGAAAGGCAGAAGATGCCTTGAGCATCCTAAAAAAAGCCCATATAAAACATTAAATTGAAGAAGCTGACAAGGCTGCAGAGAGCAAATGGAATGGGGCAGCCCATGAAAATGGTCCTTGGCTCCTCCAAGGGTTTCCCTTGCCACGTTGCAAGCTGGACAGTGAAGCCACTGGTTGAAGTGTGTGATCAAGTCCTACAGTAGAGCCTTGGCTACCACTGCCCATCAGCCGCTTAGGGACCGACAAGAGAAACATCACAGGTCAACAGCCTTTGCTGCCAGAGGAGAGGCACCTTGAGAGGTCTCAAGGGCAGAACCAAAGGCTGAGGTAAGACCATGCCCCAGGAAATGTGGCAATCTGGATCCTGGACTTGGTTCTTGAGGGGTCTTTCCCTCCAGGCCAAGGAGACCGAATGTGCGTGGTGCAGTCTAGACACAACCTGTGCTGATGGGCCTCATACTGCACCCAGGAGGCTGAATTTTCCTGGGAGAGGCAGGGAATAGATGTCCAGGCAATAGATACTGTCCTCATGGCAGACAACTCAATGCTGGCTGCAAGAAGAGCCTGAGCAGACACCAGCTGGGAGGACAGAGTGGGGATGGAGGTATATGTTGACCTGAGCATGTCTCAGCCCATCAGGGGTGACCCTGGGATCCCAACATAAGCGTCCATCCACTTTGTGCATGGTCCCTGACCATGGGGCACCCTAGGCCAGAGGGAAGAAAAGGGAACACCAGCATCTCTACCCAGGGTCCCCACAGATTTTCACACCAGCACAGACTCGGTTCATAAATTGACCCTGCATAAATTTGGTTCCTGGAAGAAAGAAAATAAACCAAATAAAACTTGCTTGAGAAACAGCCCTCTTCTCTTTGCTGAATAAAGTTTAGCAATTGAAAATATGTAAAACAACCTCCTCCTCCATCTGATTTTCTCTCCTTGACGCCTACTTTCCATATAAAAGGAATCCAAACCAGACTCCCCTTGATGCATTAAACCCACTTTTGGGGGAGCAGCGGAGGGCACTCACGTGGGAAATAAGAACAAAACGCAGACTGCATTTTGTAGCACCTTTCCTGTTAACTTGCCAAGGCATTTCCCAGCATATACTAACATAAAATAAAACACACTAAAAATAAAACCAAGCTAAAAATAAACATAATGGAGGAAATGAATATTTCCCTGGTTCAGTGTATAGCCTGTACCAAGGAAAACAGGAGGGACTGTGGCTCAGCTTTAAAATACAAAGAAAAGGATGAAAGCTGTAGAGTTTGAGTTTTCTGGGTGGAAACTCGCTAAAAGTCTGTTTTCTGCTTGACCTCATAAGGTTGTGATTGGGTACAGAAAGCAAAGAAGAGCTCTGAGCTGCTGGCAGAAGCGGTAGAGAGGGGTTGCTGGTGCTGGTAGGGAGGTGCAAGGGAGAGACACCGCGCTGCTTTGCTCTGCAAGTGCTCTTCTGACCTTCAGTGCCTTCTAGCAGGTCCAAAAGCAGAAGGCAACCCTTTTTCAAAACAAGGAGGTACTTTTCTAGGGTCAAATGCCTACTGCATCCTGACCTGGAGATGACTGCATTTCATCAGCAAAAACATGATCTCTTTGTTTTCCCAGCCTCCAAAGCACTTTGAGATCCTTCAAGATGAAAGATGCTACAGAAATACCAAGCCGTCATATATTTATTATTTTGGCAACGAGCGTTTCTAGACTGAAGTCAGGAAACCTCGTTTCTTTGTTGCTTTTGTTACTGTCCCTTTCTTGGGTTATTTTAGGAAAGCACTCACATGCACGTACCGTGTATATGAGGCTGGGTGCGTGCGAACAGTCAATTCAGTTCTTTACAGGAATAACACAGATCTTCTGTGATCTTTTACAGTTGAATGTCTCTAAACCTCTTAAGATCTTATATTCCTGAATTTTTATAGGGGACTTTTTCCACAGACTCCACCTGCCTTATATGAAATGGATTATTAGCCCTTTAAAAATAAAAAATACTGCTGGTTTGGAGATGAAATAGATTTTAAAAATATAATAAGGGGGGGAACACTTGGATGTTTCCTGACTTAAAAGAGGCAGATCCTTTACTGTTAGTGAGACTAACGGAGTTTGTAAGCCTAACCCCCCTCTAAATATTCAAGCCTTTTGTCCAGAAAATCAATACTATAAATAGCATTTCCTACTTTGAAAACTCTGGGGCTCTGATTTACCCTGAGTGTTTGCTAAGGGCCCGTGTGTAACCTGCAGTTCAGCACACGGCAGCTAAGCCAAGGCTGCGGGAACCCGCGGGACAACAGCAAGAGGAGGAAGAGAAGATGCTGCCGGGTCCTGCCGGGCCCACGCAAAGGGAACAGCACGCAGCTCTGTGCACTTCGGTGATATGGGCACTGACTTGTGCTTCAGCTATAGTGAGACTTTTAAGAGAAAATCATCTACTTTCCTCTCGATTTGTCCCTATATGAGCTTCTCCCCATCCACAGGCGATGCTCAGCTGCGTCCTGTCAGCCTATTCCTCTTTGCAGTCACTTTTGAGGGCGAGGGGGAAGCTCTCAAGCAACGAGCGTGCAAAATTATTTTAAAGGATGAGAAAATGTAATTGAAAAACCACATCAGTTGGCTGGGGTCTTAGAAGCATGTGTGTACATAGCTGTAAGGGCTACCAGGAGGAAACTGACTGCATTTCAGGTGGACATTGATCCTTTAATGTAAGGCTGAGAATAATATTTATATGCTGACTCACTAAGATTTATGTTTCCATATAAATCACACATGCACTTAAAAAAAAAACAAAACTAAAAAGCAACTGCAGGGTATTCATAGCTTCCAGAACTCTGCATAAATCAACTGCACCATGATCTCCCAAGCTTTTAGACAAACACATGCACACTCATTCATTATCAGGTGGTTTGTCCATCCAGGGCCATCAACAGGAGAAAAATGACAGTAGCAGTGATGTGATGACCTTAGCCAAAGCCAAAGCTCTTAACGCCCCCACAGCTCCAGCAAAGGTTGGACCCAAAATCAGTATTCCCAGTGTTTGAGTAACTGGCTGAACCGGAGCCCTGGATCAGCACGCTTGTAACTTCAGGGAGCCTGGTCTCTGCAAGCAAAGCCAGGTTTGGCAGGTCTGGCTGCTGTCAGCCCCACTGCCCCTCTAGGACAGAGCTGAGCACCATCCTTTTGTTCCTCTGTGGGTCCGTGCCTGTGCTCGGCACGCTCTTTCTGCCTTGTTTATCTGATACACGACGGTCCTTCGCCGTCCCTTTTCCAGTACGACCCTCTCCTGCAAACGCCACCTCTCGTTTGCTGCTTTAAAAAGACAGGCAGAAGCCTGTGCATGCCAGACATCAATAAATTAAAGTGCCGTTGCTACTATTGTTGTTATCGCTGCATTACTACGGGGGCAGCATGAGCCTTGGTGAGGAGCATGGGATGGATGGGGACCCAGCATGGAGAAGAGGAGGAGATGGAGATCTGCAACCGGGGAAGCTTCATCCCCACCTCCTGCAGTGTGGGGAAGACTGAGATGGATGGAGACTGAGCTTATAAAGCACATGCAGAAGAAGCCTACATTTCAGCTTCAGCAGCAACCCTCAGCAATAACTCCTTAGCAGAGGGAGCTTGGTTTTCCCACCAGGGAATGGTCCTTTAATGCAGTTTTGTGCAGATGCACAGGCCACACACACAGATCTATTTTCTGCTCCCCCTGCCCCCTCCTGCAATGAGATTAGCAAATCAAATCTTATTACACTGGATTTTCCAACAGCACCTCAAAAGCCACCTGAGCTTAGTCACAAAACATTCAATGAATAGACAAAAACTCCAGAAATGAAGCACAAAGCCCCAGAGGAGAGAGGTACTCTTTGGATGCCTGTCAGATATTGCACCGAGGAGACCTTACCTGTAGTGCTGGTGGCCATGCCCCTCCTCATGTTGTAGGAGGCAAGTGGTGGGGTCAGAGCCAGGCTGAGCTGATGTGCGCAAGGCCACGGCTGCAATGCCCACGACTGGGGAGGAGAAGTTGAGCAGCACCGAAGCAGCCCAGAGGGATGGGTCCTCCTTGCCATGGGTCACGTTGATGACAAGCGGGTTGTGTTGGCATGACAGCTCGTACAGCCCTGCAAGACGGGGCAAAGAAAAAAGCTTCTAGCTCAGTTCCAGGGATATTTTCTCTGCTTTTGATTTACCTCTTCAGTTCCCCCACGCATCCCAACAGAGTAGCTTGGGAAGCAGAAGATGTTGCAAGGGGGGACAGGGGACACCAGCACTCAGTGGGAGATCACAGCAACGGTGGGACAGCATGGCCCAGTGCCACAGCCCATGGGATGCTCACCCAAAGAGTGGTTCAGCCCATCTACGTCACTCAGCTGGACAGTCACCCTCGGCTTGCGCTGGTTGCTTAGGGCAGTGCCATCAGAGGCCAGGAAGACCAGGAGGGAAGTGGGCACCGCAGGTCTCTCAAAGCACACCTGGGAAAGAGGGCAAGAGAGACCCTGAGAGCATGCATACCAAATACAGCCTTTCTGACCCCACGTATGCAAGAGGGAGACAAAGAGGGAGTGCAGGGAGAGGGCGGGAGCAGGGTTAGGGAGTCAGAGACTGCAGATGTGCAGGGCAGCAAATGGATGGGAAGAGAGAGAGAGGAGAGAAGGAGCGGTGCAGGAACACAGTTCTTTCCCTCCTAATTCCCCTTCTCCCCTTTGCTAGTCTTCCCCATGCGTATCAGTCCTGCCTCACCATAAATTTATGGCATCTTCCCAGCTTCCACATTTGCTGCTCTTAAAATTGAGCAACACCTGACCAAGACCTGGATAAACCCTTTTCTGCCCTCCCTTTCCCAGGCTCTGACTCCCACCCTGCACAATGCTGGTTGGGCAAGCAAGGCACCCAGAGAGCACAGCGACCAGCCCTGCCACCAAAATATTTCCATTAAAAAAACCCAAAACAAAACAAAGAACAGCCCTGGTACCCAGAGTGACTTCAAACTGTCTGTCAGCCAACACGCAGAAAGATTTGTGGGAAGAAGTCCTGCCTGCTAGGAAAGCTGACAGCTCCCCACTTGTCTACAGCCCCGAAGGCTACAGGAGACAGCCGGGAAACTCGCAGCATCAGTCATGGCAGGGCAGATGTTCTTTGGAAGTAAGAAGATAGAAATGTTTTTCTCCCCCACCCTGGTGCCCCCCTCCCAGTGCTGAGATGTGTTTTGATCAAGACCCACCCTATGAAGCGTTTTTGTTGAATGCTGGCATGGAGGGAGCCCAGAAATGCAAGGCAAAGGTGTATTTTGGAGGAGGACAAGTCCTGGCTGGCCAGGCACAGCCCAAGGAGCAGACTGCAGGAGTGAAGGGGACAACCACCCAAATTTGCGACGGCAGCCCAGCCTCAGGGTGGTTTGTGCCACGCCAGGCATTGCTCACACACGGGAGTAGGAGAAAACCTTGGGCTTCATCCCAGGGCTCCCACCCTTGCAGGGAAGTGCTTGGCAGCAAACACCCCAGGAGTGAGTCCCCAGTGCTGCCTACATGCTCCCTTGGCCAGGGCTTGCTCTTGCGCAGGGCTGGCCCTGTTGCAAGGAGTGGACCAGGAGGCTGAAGATGCCCTCCCTTTTTTGTTTGGTGTATCCCCACTGTCTCTGCACCTGAGCTCAGAAGCCAGTGAGAAAAGAAAGCAAAAAGGGAGGAAAGACAAAGAAGAGCCAACAGTGCTCAGAGCCTCCTCCAAGGAGCCTCCCAGGACAGAGCTGCAGCCAGGAAGCCCCAAGGAGCCAGCCGATTTTAATCCCGCTGCCCACTCCTCCAAGCATGGTTCCTCAGTGGAGGAAAGATAGTTGGAGAAGTCAGGTGAGGCTTTCCCTGGACTACACAGCTTAAGGTAGAGGGTTTAGTCTTTCCCTTCCTACAGAGGAGGTGAAGGACACTGGCCCCGAGTTAGACCACTAGCAGCTGACTTGACTAACATCCCAATTTTTTGTTTTGTTTTGGTTTTTAATATGTACTATGTGCTTGGCCACAGCAGGCTATCTTAATTTTCCTTCCTCCCTCTTCCCCCTTTCTGTTTAATTTCCTGCATATTACACATACTGACTTGCTTACAAGTGATTTTGATTTCTCTCCTCATTGGATGTGTTAGCAACTAAGAACAAAGCATGGGCAGAAATCTGCAAATCATAACTATTCCCATCTGCAGACAGACCCAAGGTGCATAGTAGATGCTTTGTTAGGTGGCCCACTCTTGCCTCCAGCCCCAGCCCGCTTACAGCATGACCCAACCTTTCCCTTGCTCATTGGTGCCACCTCTTGAGAAACACTGTAGGAAGCAATTCCTACCACCCGATGAGTTTTGTGCTGTGGGTCTAACCCGGGTGACACAGGTGCAACAGCTTTAAAATGGCCATGGGAATTGGTGGCCACGAAACACTATGCACACGTGGGTATGCATGTGAATGAGCGGCACCATTCCTGTCCAAGCAGGCAGATGTGCTAGGCAAATTGTCAACAAGAAGCTGTCTTTCCTAACCCAATATGTTACCAATCAGGCAAACTCTATTAAAAAAAAAGGAAAAAAGAAAAAAGAAAAAGGGCATATTTATTACTAGTCCATAAATAATTTTATGGGCGGAAAATAATAGCAGTCCTAGAGAGAGCACGGAGAACCAGTAATGAAAGTCTTTAATATAAACATCCATAGAGGAAGAAAACTGACCACAAGCTCCAATAAAACTGGAACACACTTTAACCCCTGGTGAGAAGTGGAAAGCAAGCTTTCATCTAGGTAGGGCAGAGGGGAAGATTGCTGCTTCCTTGCTAGCAAAGAAGAAAGGAGGCACATTTGTCATGGCCAGAGACTGAAGCCGGAAAGCAGGCTGTGAGCACACAGACAAGGAAGAAAAGAAAAAAAAAACAGTTAACGGAAGTTCTTTGGAGAGACAGAGGCCCTCAGAGGCAATAGCCATGTTTATTGACTCAGGTTTGACAATTCATCAAGTCATCTGAGCATCCTGGGAACAGGTCCTCTCTAGACAACCTTGAGTAAAGCAGAGCGAGGTGCCCTTCAAACTGCAGAAGCAGCAGCACACCAGAGCCCAGCTTTCCAGTAACACCAGGCAACAGCCATGAAACCTCTAAACTGTGTCTGTGGTCAGAAAATCAATGTTGTAAAAAGCACGTTGGTCTAACACTCAGCCCTCCTCTGTCCTGCTCTTCTGCCTGCCAGGACAGAGAGATTTGATCCTCTGGGTGCTCTCCCAAAGGTGGCCCTCAGCCATGGAGGCAACCCCAGAGTCCCCATTGGGCTGCAGGACCAGCATCTTGGACACAGTAGTGCCTGCTTTGGTCTGGGGTCACCAGGGAGGCAGGAGGACCTGCATGCCACAGCAGATAGCTGTGGGTTCAGGGTGCTCAGCAGCAGCCTGGAGTACTCAGGACCCCTCAGGATGGCAGAGTATCCAGCTCCCCTCTGTTGCTCTTCACAGCCATGGGGAACAAAGGCAACTAGGACTTCAAATGCAGCTTGCACCCACCCTTTGTGGGTGTAATGGCATAGCTTGAGCGCAGGGAACAGTCAGGAGCAAGTTGTTTCTCAGCCTCAACACAATTCTGTGGGCTTCTGGTTTTGGGCACAGCCCTTCTGGCAATCTGCCCCAGGATGGGTTTGCTGCTCACAGTGGGAATGGGGCAACTACATAAGACCCAGCCACAGGCATTTGGGGTTTGCGAAGAGCTCAGCAGGATATAAAGTCCTATCTGAGCAGTTTTTAAGACCACTGTAGCTCCTACAGGACAAAAAAGGATGGGTCTTTTTCACCAAAGTGCTGGGGCAAAGACAAGCAAATCCTTCTGTGCCTGACCACACATCCTTACTTACCTTGAGCCAAACTCCCCCATCACCTAAGGGCACCCTCTCCTCATCTGGATCCTGAGCATCGTCTTGGCTGGGAGTACAGGGGAACCAAGCAGCCAGGGAAAGGTCCTTTGGCACATCATGAAGGTGGGATTTACATACCTGAAAGGAGAGATTAATTTCAACCCAGAAAGAAGCAAGGAAAGTGAGAGAAAGAAAAAGTACCTACAAAACCTCAAGGAAGGCTCAACAAATGCTGAGAAGGATTCTAAGTTGATTCCTAACATGAAGACAATTAGGATGTGGATTCCTAAGCAGGAGTGACATCTCACTGCCCACACATGTGCACAGGAGGCCTTTGCCATTTTCAGGTGCTGTAAATATGCTGTTTAAGCACCCCATGGTGTCTGTGGGGCTGAGTTAGAAGTAAAGAGCCAAGCTGCGAGATGGTAGGTAAGATCATAGCCTCCTGATTTTGGCTGGGGTGATGATCCAAAGGTATGATTCATTTGCCTGAATACCAGTCTTCTGTGATGTTCGATGCCCTATAGTATCCCAAACATCCCTATAGGCCTGGCAGACAAAACTTGAGAGATACGTGTGTCATTCTAGAGGGGCGGACACCTGAGACCAAGGCAGTCCATTAGACATGTACATCTGGGTAATTTAATGATGCTGTAGAATCATAGAATCATGGAATGTTTTGGGTTGGAAGGGACCCCTAGAGGTCATCTAGTCCAACTTCCCTGCAGTGAGCAGGGACACTGTGAACTAGATCAGGTTGCTCAGAGCCCCATCCAACCCGGTCTTGAATGTTTCCAGGGATGGGGCCCCCACTACCTCTCTGGGCAACCCATTCCAGTGTTTCATCACCCTCATTGCAAAGAATTTCTTCCTTATATCCAGTCTAAACCTACCCTGTTTTAGTTTAAAACCATTATCCCTTGTCCTGTCACAGCTGGCCCTACTAAAAAGACTTCCCTATCTTTCCTATAGGCCCGCTTTAAGTACTGAAAGGCCACAACCAGGTCTCCCCGCAGCCTTCTCTTCTCCAGGCTGAACAAGCCCAACTCTCTCAGCCTGTCCTCATAGGAGAGGTGCTCCAGCCCTCGGATCATTTTAGTAGCCCTCCTCTGGACCCACTCTAACAGTTCCATGTCCTTCTTGTGCTGAGGGCTCCAGAGTAGGTCTCAAGAAGACTGTTCCTTATATCAAGTCAATAGAAATGCATGTATGAAGGGCTAAATATGACCCCTCTACATATTGCCCTTCTGGAGCTTGCTAGGAAAGAACATACACACACCACATTAACACCGATCAGGCAAAATCCCATCCTAGACTTCCAGGCCCTGCTCCAAAGCCCATATGAAAGATGGGAATTCTCCCATCAATTTTTCCTTGGCTTCAGATCAGAGAGTTTGAGAGCAGCACAGATGCTGATGTATGCGTGATTTTATCCTTTCAGGTCCTGGCTTTATAAAGTATTAGACTTACGGGATTTTTTTTAAACCGACAGTGGGACTACACACATGCTCAAAGTTGTGCATTTAACTGGTGGGACAGGGGTCATCACTGTTTAGCAAACTGCATGGTCAGGGGAGGTGCCCTCTGCCTTGATGAAACACCCCTCCATGTTCCTGGGCTTAGGGACTACTGAAAGAGGGGTGTGAGAAATGCCTAGGTCTTCTACTGGCTCTCTGCATGGGAATATAGTAACCAAAGAACACTTCCAGAGCTGCTCTGAAGATTTTGTTTTTGCCTCAGTACACTCTTGCAGCAGTGACTTGCCCAGCTTTACTGCATGAACTTTGCTAGAAAAGTCTTTTTTTTTTTTGGCCATGCCTTCACTCACCTTCACAACAGGCTCTCCAATGACCAAGGAAGCAGGGCAGGACTTTATGTCCTGATGGGAGGCATAGGCTTTCACTGCCCACAGATCCACGTATCCATCGGGTGTGTAGGGACCACAGTCCAGGACACTGCTTGTCTTCTCAAATGGCTCACACACACCATCCCCATCATGCACATAGCACAGGCTTGGTTCCCCTGCGAGGAGACCAGGGACAACCCATTTACAAACTAGGTTCCAGGCACATATCTCTCCCCCTCTCCCTGGAGGCATGCTGGCCTTTTGGCCCTGGGAGTTCCCACCACAAGGGCCTGATAAGCTCTGCAGATCACTCTAGCTGCAGATCCATGTTTTGTTGCAATGAGGTACATCACTCCCTGCTCTGAGGAGCGGTGTGAATAACAAACAGTTTTGACTTGTGCCTCAAAAGGTTGTCTCAATCAATTTGAACTCACCGACACAGTTGAAGCCTTTTTCCTTTTTACACTTCCTGGAACAGCCATCTCCATCCAGCAAGTCTCCATCATCACATTCTTCCCCCAGGCTCCTAAGGGGACAACAGTGAGATGTGTTAACACCACTCTTGACTCAACCTTCCTGTTGTTCTGCCCAGTCATGAGTGAGGACCCCATGTCTTTGTTCCATTTCCACAGAAGCAGGGAAAAGAAGAACCACATGTGGAGTAAGGTAGAGGAGAGAAAACACCACATGTTGCCAGGGTATAAAAAGAGTTTGAAAACACAGCATATGGGAGAAGGCATGACTGTACTGTGACTTTCTTATAAGACCCAAGGCAAAAACTATAGGAGAAAATGAAGCTATATACAATGGAGGAAGTAGAGGACCAAGTATCAGGACGACTTGCTGCTAGAGAAAGCAAGTTTTGGAGAGGGCAGGAGGTTCTGAGTGGGAGCTGGAGAAGGGGAGGAAGGAGAAGGGGGAGAGAGAGGGAGAAGGTTAGCCCAAGAGGAGACAAGAATCAGCCCCCAACTGACATGCATGGCATCTCACAAGGAAAAAAAGCCCATGCAGTTTCCTTGAAAAGGTTCTGTCCCTATCCTGCAGAAAATAGACCTGATGAGAAAAGCTGACAAAAATGCCTTGATTCGTTCCTATTCCTTTGTGCAGAGTTACATATCCCAAAACATGAGGAGCAAAACAAACTTCAGACATACATCTTGCAAAGCTCACCCACCTCCACCCTCATCTAATACGAAAGATGTACTATGTCCCATCTTGCCACCTTTGGCTCACTGTTCCACACATGGTACAACAGAAAAAAACTTTCACAGACAAAGCTTCCTGCATGGCCTTTCCCACAACAGCTCAGGAACAGGAAATCCTGACAAAAATCTCAGCTGCTATCTGCCCATTTGTGCTCCTCTCACTTTTCTATCGGCTTTGACAACGGAGTCTAATGAGGTCTCTCTGGATCAGGTCTTCAGCTAGCATGAATTCATGCTAAAACCATACCAGATTACACCACTTCAGCAGCTAGCCCTGTTGTAAGCCTCTTTGCCTTGCTGGTTCTTGTATGATACCACAATCCCTCCTGCACTTGCTTCAATTGTCCCTTGTCCTCATGCTGTTAAGAAAGATGTTTTCAAAGGAAAGTCATTCTGACTAACCTGGAAGTTGAAGTCTGAAAAAGCTAAAATATGAAAATGTGGCATAATTATCCCTAGACAGAGCAGGTGAACCATTGGAGTCTCTCAATGCAGAGGTGGTGCACCCCTCATCACTTGGGATCTCTAAGCAGAGACCAGACAGCTCTCTAAAGACACCACACCACATGGGACTGCACTTGCTGTGGAACCTACTCCTGCAGGGCCACCACCATGTGCCCTGTACAAAAGGTTATATCGGCCAGTCCCAAAGGCAGATCCCTTTGGGGTCAGATTCTGCAACAGTTCACTGAGATGGGCCACAATCCAAGCAGTACAGTCAAACACAGAGGATGTTCAGGTTGGACCCCTCATCCAGACCCTGCTCCTCAAAAAGACCATCTCCATCTCCTATGCACATGGCATTTTACAAAACACAAGCTCTATAGTTTGGTCTGCTGGAGGGATTCAGCACAGCATCTTCAGTCAAGTACCCATGGGTGGAGGACCAACCCAGTGCTTCCCTTTGGGGCAGGATGACCTGACAGCTTAAGGAACCTCAGCTGAGAGCTTGAGTTTCTTGACTTACGTGGTCACCTTCCCATCCCCACAGTAGGATGCTCCATGGACATGGACGAGTGGTGGGGAGGCTTCTCCTGAGGTTGTCCCAGAGACTGCCTGCACCTGGTAGCGGTACAGCTGCCCAGGCGTGACTTCCCTGCAGGAACAGAGAGGACTTGAAGAAAGACCAGGAGGGAACAGCCCGTACATCTGCAACAGATTTGCTCACCACAGCTATAGAAATCATGTGTGTGCTCATGCAGTATCAGTTTGACATATGTCTTTGTACTCCAAACTGCCAGAGGCAGAGACTGTGGGAAGAGGGTCTCTGCCAGGTCGTGCAGAGGGGCCTGCTGCTTATTTCCCTAGGGTCTGAGCTGGGGAGAAGTGGCATTAACTTGATCATTTTACTGGTTGTGTCAGTGAGGAAATTGTTTCCATGTTTAATAAGCTCCTTCTAGTTAGCCTGGGCTCATGGGCAAGGGGTCATGCTAGCATGGTGGGCCTGCAACAAGCTTCCTCAATGCTGACTAGGGAATCTGCTCATGGCATTGAATGTGGTAATTCCCAGGGCATGGAAAAATAACAAAACACATGCAAAACCATCCAGGGATTCGAAGGCAGGAGCTGAAGAGGTCATCAAAACTGTCCCAGCCACCCACTCAGCCTGCGACGGAGCAGCCTCGTCACTCACGTGTCAACAAACTGGCGGTGCGCCTGTGCCGGGGCAGCAGGGGATCCATTTGCAAAAGGAGGGTCACGGAGGACTTTGTACTGGATCAGCTTGCAGGCAGAGCAAAGCGAGCTGTGGGGCATGGAGGTCAGCAGGGCTGTGTCTATCTCCATCCTCTCATCAAAGGTGTAGATTTTGACTCCAGACACCTTTTTAGGGATGTTGAGCTTCACAGTAAAGGGAACATCACAGAAAGTGTCCAGGGGGCCCAGATGGATGGACTCCCCATGCTCTGTCAGTACTTCAATGTCAGACAGCACCTTGGGAGAGTCCATGGAGAGGTATGTGGTCCAGAGGGTAAGGGAATCGGGGTAGACTGGGTGCAGGAAGCGCAGCTCCAGGATGCAACCGTCTGGCTGGGGGCATGGCACCGTCATGTTCATGTGGTACAGGTGGAGCTCTGGACTCCAGGCCTGCAGGCTGGGCTCACAGGGCTGATCCACATCCGGGGGCCCTGGGCAGGAGGGACAAGGAGGAGGCTGATGAGAACCAGGGGACAGCTGACCTCACAGAGGACCCAGGGGGATGATCCTCCCTGCAGTACCCTGCAGGTGTTTATGCATCTCTGTGCTATAGTTGCCACCCATGCGGTTTTGCACGCACTACAGGCATGTACCAGAGCTGGTGGCATCTGCCCTAACATCCTAGAAAGCAATAAGCACCACTAGTCTCCCAGCTCCTGGGTATGCATACAAGCACAAGGCTTGGCAGATCTGGTGTCTCACAGCCCACTAGAAGAGGGCCAATGGTATCCACGCTGCAGCTAGTCACGGCACCAAGCTCTAGAGACAGCCTGGACACAGCTGGGGGACATGAAGCTTGCTCTGTAGTCTCATGTGCACAGAAGGCTTGCCAAGGGTACCTGAACACTGAGAGTCCCTGTGGCTCCATGGAATTAGACATAGGCTAAGCAGAGCAGAGCTGAGCCCAAAGCTTTCCACAGGCACGTGCTGGAACAGGTCACAGGCAGGAAGCAACCAGGTCCAAAGCAAGCCAGGGAAGCAGCTCTGGAAGGCTGCGCTTCCACCAGGATGGTGCCCAAACTGACCTCAAATCCCCAGCCTGCCTCCCCTGCTGGTGGATTAGCACTCAGCAAGAGAAACATAGCGTTGAGCTTTCAGTCTCAGAAAGAATCAGTGGAATTCGTCATCCTGTAGTAGAAATACCCTTGTCTTCATCAACCACTGCAAGCATTTCTTGGGGCCCAGCACCAATTCAAAGCCTGCATCCATTTAATACTAGTTTTCTAAAACCATAAAACCTGTTTCCCTTTCATCAGGGCAAACATGCACGTGTGATAACTGGAGGTCATACATAAGAGAAAACAACATCCAATAATCCCAGAAGCAGTTTTAATTTGCCAGTGAATCAGACAGGCAGGGAAACTGGAACCACTGACCATAAATGAGCTAAGCTTTGATTTGTTTGGTATCACTGAATAAGCACAAATTTGATTATTTCTTTAAGTTGATTCCCCACCCCCCACCCCCACCCCCAACTTGCAATGCTAGCAAGAGATATTTAAATTAAAGAGTTTTCAGATACAGAATCTCAGCTACATCCTGACACTCCTGTCTCAAAGCATGGGCTACATCCCAAAGGTGTAGTAATGTCCAAACTGCACTTTCTCTGCAACGACCCTGGCACATTTTCAGTCGACATCAGTGGCTTAAACATGCAGATGCACAGAACTAACAGATTCTCTGGCTCCACGTGGTTCAACAGCAGCCTGTGCACTACACACAGCTCATGGGATCATTTCACCTCGTCTCCTGCATCCTCTGCTTTGCCCTTGGAGAAGTTGAGGTGTATGAAAAGCCCAACAGCTCCTATGGCAGCTGCATGACCCTGAAAGCTACCACCATGCCCACAAGGTGGGTCTCTAAACAAACATCTGGGTCTCAGCACAAGAGAAGCTGTGACACACCGCTGTTCAAAATGAATTGCATCCAACCCAGATGGCCCAGGACTTGGTACAGACTCAGTGGGACTGAGTAAGGAGCTTCTCTTGCTCCCTTTGGACAAGACTGCATCAAAGTCTATGAATGCCCCTGTGGTTTTGGATGAGTTCCCAAGATCTATGACTTTTATTTCATTTTATTTTACTTATATAAGACTTTTATTTCACTTATATAAGACTTTTATTTCAATGAAATGCCCCTCCTTTTTGACCACTATCTCTCATTAACACCTTCCTGGGCAAAGATTGGGGTTAATAATGCGGTGTCAGTTTGTCTGTCCAAAGCCAGCTGGCAGTTACCAGGTAACTCCTGGGCACCTAGAATTTCTTCCTGCACTAAAGAGCCTCCCCAAACAGGAGACATCTCACTCTCTAAAAGAAAAAAGCTTCTTTTTCTTTTCCCAACAAGATTTCATCTCTCTCAGGGAAATTCACAGCCAGGGCAAGAGAAGAGATCTTTACCTTCTGCTTCTTCTGGGGTCCAGTAGCCAGAGGAATCACAGACCCGAGGGGAAGAGGCCTCGTGTACATACTGACGGAAGGTGCCGTCCTCCGCACAGTCATCGCAGAGCATGTCCTGCTCCCTGCAGACAGAAGACAAAGGCATTGGCATGTCTAATCATGACTGGTTAATTTTCCATCCACATTTGTCCAGGCAGAATCAGATAAGAAGTTGGAAAAGCAAAGCTAAGCTCTCGGGAAGTCCCTGGGCATATCATCCTGCTTGGAATAAACTTTGTCAAAGACAGGAGAACAAGAGTGACCATGGGACAAGCTGGGTTTAATCCCTCCTCTTCTACAGGTTCTCTAGGTAGTTTTGGATGAGCCATTGAATCTCCTGTTCCCTACCCATGAAGCATAGTTAACAGAATTCATGCTTCCCAGGGCAATACCTCTGCATTTGGGTGGGTGCACTTGGGTCTATCTCTGCTAAAGCCCAGAGTCAGGTTTTTGGCTTTTGTCACTACTGCAGTACAAGGCAGTCACACTAATGTCAATTAAAGAGGGTACCACTGTGCTCTCCAGGAAAGAAAAAGAGAGTTTTCTGTGATAAAGACCAGCCTCAGGCCCTTTCCTTGGCATGTTTGTCACAGGGGATGCAGAACCCCCACTGTGGACCAGCTCCTGAGCCGGTTATGAGTGAGAGCTAGGGATGGATCTGAAGACCCACAACCTGCCTCCTAGACATGTGTTTCTTTGGTCCCAAACCACTCCATTCCCCACCAAAGCAGTTTGAAGGCCACTCAGCACTCAGTGGCTCTCACCTCTGCGGGTGTAACAGGTACACACTCTTGTTATCTCTGGGACAAAAGACCCCATCATGGAGAGCATCAGTTCTTTGAAAAGGCAGTAAAATCTGACCCAGGGTTGTCCAGATGCCCTCAAACAATGCTTTTCTGTGAACTACACAATCTTTGTAAAGTAGCTTTAAAACAATTTCAAGAGCTCTTTAGCATGTGCTTATGGTCCCATAATAAAAGCATAGACCTAAAACCTGGTGGAAAACAAAATGTTTTAGTAATAAGGGGCTGCTGAACAGGGGCATTGGTGGCATATCCAGGTCTTGGTGACTCCCCAGTGTTGGAGAGAAGGAAGACAGCCACCCAGTGCTCAGGGCCATGCACTGCTCGCCAACCAAACAATTCTGGGTCTTCAGCACCATTTCTCTGGCTTGAAAAGTTTCCCGACTTACCCCCAGTTAGTTACACCACGAGTCCGTGACAGCGCTGGGAATGAAATCCAGCTCTTGCGGTTCGAGCTCCCTGCCTTAACCACAAGGCTGCATTTCCTCCTGGTGAATGGCTATTTTATACAATAAGTGCTAAATGAAGCTCATTTTTCATTCTGTGATTGCACTCTGGGGTTTAAGAATTGGCATTGCCTCCTAACGCTCTTTGGCTTCCCCTCCTGGCACCCCAACAGCAGAAGGCTTGCAGGAGAGCCCACGTGCCAGCACAGCCATCACAGCAGTCTGGCTCTTGTGTCTGAGCGCTCTGCTGAAGACAACCAAGGGTGGGGGGGTCTGCATCATAGAGGGCCCCTTGTCCCTTCTAGCAGGCTCCTATGCAAGCCCAAGACCATCACAACAGCAGATTCCTTACCTCTCATGAATGACACCACTGATGGGAGGCAGCCAGTAGATGCTGAGGGAGTCCTGCGTCTGCCCCGTGACCATGGGAGGGATTGGGATGGGAGCAGGCTTCTTGCTCTGGCCCCAGTGTTGGTACACCAGGTCCAGGTAGCAATGCATCCGGGCCACTTGGTTGGGGGTGAAGGTGTTGGTGCAGTCATCATCTGGGGGAAGAGAGACCAGGCTAAGGGTGGCAGGCATTGGCCAGAGGGTCACAGCAATGTGCACCCTTCCTGATCCCCAAACTCCATTTTGGGGTCCTCTAGGGAGACCTGGGAGACACCAGCTTGTGGTGGTTTTCCTGCCAGGACTCTCTGGTGTCTTGTGTCCCCAAAGCCACAAGATGGCACTGCCTCAGCAGCTCCACATCCCTGCACTTGCTCAACACCAGCTCACAGCAGCTCTAATGCCTGGGCAGTGCCACCATCCTCATGGGACTTGCAGTGAGTGGGTCAGCAGGGGGTGACAGAATTGCCCTTCAGCTGCGGCATACCTTTGGAAACCAACTCAAAAGTAAAAAATTGTAGTAGTAGTAGTAGTAGTAGTAGTAGTAGTAGTAGTAGTAGTAACAGTAATAATAAAGTTGCTTCAGGACTAGAGAACAAAGACACACCACCATGCAGATGAGAACAGCCTTGATGCACGTCCAATAACAGACTGGCAAGGAGGGAGGGAGGGGTGGAAATAGCTTGCAGCAAGAAAGGGGCTAAAAAGTTACTGCAAGCACAGGCTGCAGCCTGCAGCATCCCAACACACCAGGAGGGACCACATCAGTTATGGAACGAGGGGAGGGACTATTGACGGAGGCGGAAGGGAGAGAAACCCAAGTTTCTAGGGAAGGTGACCCCTTACAATTTCTAATGACAACTACTCATTACCTGTGTAACTCATGTAGTTGTTGAAGGGCGTTCCTGTGAAATGTGTCTGGCCGCAGGTGTCATTGGTAGGGTCTGGATCCCGACAGAGTTTACTCTTTGGGGTGGGGGCAGTGTCAGCACAGAGGTCTCCTGTCTCCATAGATGGAGTTGTCTCCCTGCAGGGATCGTCACAAGATTCCCGCTCGCTCACTCCCTTAAAGACATGGTACAGCCCCAGGATATGTCCCACTTCATGGATCATGGTGTTTGTGTGGCCATGCATACCGTAATAAGCAGGGTTGAGGACAACTCCACCTAGAATTGCAAGTACAGAGAACATTATCCAGAGAAAGAGACAGCGAGCAACCACTGTTACTCACCTGTGCTAGGTAAAACTACTCTTACTGTGCTTCCAGGTCCCAAATGAGGTGCCAGATGGAGACCTGAAGATGGACATGTTCACCCTCTTGTAGGGTGGGAAGAGGGCTTGGAGTGGAATGGGGTGGGTGGTTTTTCTTCCCCTTCTGATCACACTACTCCACCCAGTATCTTCAACCATTTCAGCTACCATTTCTCTCTGTGCCTTTTTGCATGTGTATAATTCAGTGTCTGCTTTAGAATTTTTACAATTCCAAATGAGGTTTGGGGTCAAGACACCAAACCGAGACATGCTGTGAGTTTACAGGAATAATATTTTGAACCAAAGGACAGAAGACCTTCCCTAGCCTAGACAGGTGGCTAAAGCATGCCAGCTCCCATAGCAGGTGAGAACAACAAGGTACCTAGCAAAGTCCTGACACACTTGGCTGCGCCAACTAAAAGCCACTTTCAGCACAAGTCCGTATGAAGATTCAGATGCACTGCCGCTGGCCCCTACTGAGAAATTACCAATGATCTATTGCTCCAGCCTCCAAACCAGACCCTAAGGAGTAAACAAACTCTCATGAAGTGCTGTTGCAATCTACTAAGCTTCTACCACAAACCTGACCCAAATTCACTGTGTATTTTAGAGTAGGATTCTCCAAAACACAGCTTCTGAAGATCCCTTTCTCCCCTTCAGAGGGGTTTGTGTGTGGACACGGTTCACCAAGTGAACCAGGTGAGAACTCCCTGCCTCCCCCATCATAGTCCTACTCCTCTTCACTGGGGCACCCCAGCCCCATGACTCAAAGGGGCACAAAGGTACAGTTCATCTCCAAACCAAGTTTGGTGCAGGCTCAACTATCAAAGATGCTGGAGCTTGGGTATAGACTTAGAGTCCCCCAGAAACTGCTCAGAGCTGCCACTTCACACTGATGGCAACAGCATGGAGCTGGATAGGGACCCGTGCTGATCCTGTCCTAAGCTGCTCCTTGGCTGCAGGACAAGGTGATTTTCCTCTCTTGCCATCCACCTGCAATGGGAAGAGCAAGGATCAATGATGCTGAGGAAAGCCAGGTGGAGCAGAGCCTTTCCTTTGCTCACTGCCAGCATCTCCAACTCCTGACCTGGGATGCACAACCTGTACTGACAACTGTACCACATCATCTGGGAAATTGTCCACAGAGGATGCTTAAGAACAAAACTTACCTCTCTTCTCTGTCCTCCTCTCTGGTCTGCTTTTTTTCTCCCTGATTTGAGGCTTTTCATTAGCCATTTCCTCCCCTTTTCTCACATCCTTGCTCCATCCACTTTTCCATGCTGCCTTATGGTGGAGGAGCAAGGTCTGGGGAATACCAGCAAGACAAGGGGGCAAAAAGCAGACCCCAGCATGTGCCCAGGCTGACCCCAAACAATACCTCCATGGCACAGGAGGCTGTTTTTACCCAACTACTTTTAACCCAGACAGCTTGGATGGCAGAGTGGTGAATAGTTGGCTCCAGCACAGCTTGCTCCCTCCTTTGCAGGGCCCTGGAGGATTTACTGTGCCGGCTACCTCACAGCAGAGCCTCTGCTACGGCATCTCTGCTGATGATTGCTGCCCCTGCCAGCAAAGTTAAAATTGGCAGAGGGCCACTGTGTGATCCTGTCTCCAGCCACAGCATAGACTGCTTGAAATCTGCTCCTGGATCAGTTCCGTGCGCTACCGGACTACCTCATGTCTTCAAGTACAGGGTATTCCTTCCAAGAGAGGGATTTCTTCAGATCACGGTGTCCCTGGCAGGACACCAGCAGGTCTCTGACTCCTCTGGCATAGCCATGCTGGGTGAACAACTGTGTTGGGGCTGGAAAGGGGCCTTCGGAGATGCCCTGAGAAATTCTCTTGAGCCCAACAGGGTTGCAAGAGGGTGAAGAAATAAGGGTCACATCTTCTTTTGAGCATCCTGTCTGTGTGGCTCATGGAAGGGCTGAGAGACATCACTGACCTGTCAATTGGCACAGTTTCTTAGCTAAAAATTTTGTTCTTCCTCCCCATGGTGTAGATCTTATGCCCAGGGCAGCTTGGCTTGAGGCAAAGGATAGGTCACAAAGTAGCTGCATTCCATTTCTCCCCATCTGTAGAACACCAGAGCAGAGGACCTTGCATCCCATCAGTCAGCTCTTGACCCTTTACTTGACTGGAGATGGGCCACAAGAAGGTACAGATGTTGAAAAATCCTTTTGGGACCTTTATGTTGTGTCCTGTCAATCAAACCATCCCCCTCTCAATTACCAGGCTGGTAAATGCTATAGATAGCAAAGGCCATCTCATTGACGGAGAACCCAGTGGGCACATAAAAAAAAAAGCTGCTTCTCATTTTAATCAAAACAGGGCATGAGAGAAGAGAGAGCAGAAAGAAAAGGCATCTCTGAAGCCAAACCCAAGCCTGAGCAAGGCAGGGGGCTGCCTGCCCAAAGGTCTGAAAGGAGGAATGTGCACACAAAAAGAAAATAGTGTTCATAAACAAATAAATGAGACGTGAAAGCCCTGCATGCATCCTGCAGCACTAACCACAAGGAACGGGTCTGAGCACCAGGGGCATGGGAGGCCCTGTGACCAATCAGCCCTCCTCTCAGTTTCCCATGCGGGACAACAAATGGGATTCCAGTACAGGAAGGGACAACACTGTCACAGGGGAGGGATGCCAAGGGATACCCTATCCCTCCCCCTCCTCTCTGCTGGCTTCCCCTATCCCATTCCTCCCACACACTCCACAAGGACTATCATATTTTTAGTACTTTTTTTTACAGCTAATTAAGTTGAAGGATTAGAAACAGCATGAGAACTCTGCCTCCCTTCCAGAACATCCCTGCCCCTCCATTCCCTGTCCCCACAACTCCCTGATGAGCTGGGACAGCTTCCAGCATTGGATCAGGAAGTTGTATTTCCCCTCTGCAGGGTCCTGGCTGTGAAGGCAAGATGTGGAAGTGTTTGTAACATCCCAACAAGACCAACCTCTCCCCTCCCTCTTCTGGAGATCAGGCTTTCCTTCTCACCTCTGCCTCCTCCTGCTCTGGGAGATAGATAGGTTAAATTGGGCTTTAAGTGAACTCTCCCTCTCACACCTGAGAATCAGCCCAAGGATGCCCCCAAGATCAGCTTTTATACAACCAAGTTAAAAACTTCAATGTCATGTCCCTGTGTCACCAAGGGGGTCCAGCACTCCAAGGCAGGTGAACCAGTCTTTGGACTTGTGTACCCAACCAAAACCAGGCAGCTGGAAAGCTTCAAGTCTGGCCTCACATCAACATCCTCTCCCTCCAGACCAGACCTACCAGCTACAGCTGCAAAGCTGGTAATTTCCCCAAGGTCAAGCCTCAACTCTGCTCAAGCAACAGGAGGTGCCTAGTCCATCAGTACAGTGAATGATTAGCATTGGTGTGGACCCCATCATCTTCACTCACACGTCCCTTGGAAGCTCCCAGTCACAGGACATTGCCCTGCTTCTAGCCATGATCAACGGCAATGCTGAAGGACTCTGGTTCAAGCCAGGCCCCAAGAAGCCAACCTGTTCCTGGGTGACAGCTATTGTAGAGAATGCATGCTCAAGCAAGCATGGGATTTTTAAACAGCAAACCACAAAGCTGAACCTGTATCACAGGGCCAGTCTTCCCCAAACACTGAGTCATGGCGATTAATGGAACAAACGCATGACGGTTAGTCAGACAGGAAGATGGCCATTGCTTAAGGTACCTTTGATGGAACGGCTGGCCCTCCTTCAGGATCCACTGACCTCAGCCAGATATATGAGCTGGCCTCAGCTTATATAACTGCAGAAAGTATTTATAACATCAAATGTTCACAATTCCCTTGCCTTTCGACCATATTTATGCAAATACAGTTCACATGCAGCTACACATGAAGTTTAAAGCGTCTGCATTATTACCTTGCTAGGGTTTTTGAGGCAAGGCTTTCCACTGCGGAAAGCTAAGTTTTTTATAGGACAGGAGTTCTTTGACTCCCTGTGTTTTAGAAGTCAACCTTTTTAACTGTAAGTTCTCCAAAAATTCATTCCAGACTCCAGGCAAGAACTCTGAATTTGAGAGGAACTCACTGTGATTATGGCGGAAAGACTGAGACAGACAGTATCGTTAGAGAGAGCGGTACAAACAGACCTGAGATCTTCTACCTCTGCTGCTGTCTGGCTGCAAGTTGTCTCTCTCTAGGAGCTCCACAGCTCTGAAATATTGCTTACAGAAGCATCATAAACCAGTTCACCCTCTCCAAGTCAGTAATGATCTTTTATGCTTTAATCAATGTTGCTGCTGTTGGTTGGTAATACTACTGGTCTAAAATGGTAAATCATCCCTAAACCTTCAGGAAGGCTGCCTGAAATTCAAGTTTATTCCGGAAAGTAATCTGGAGAGGAGCAATAGTTCTGTAATTCATCAGCATAGGAATGATGACTTAATTTCTGGTAGCCCAAAACAAGCATAGGTAAAGAGAAGGGGATGAAAAACAAAGTTCAATGAAGACTTCCAGAAGGTGAAGATGCCAACAGGAAGGTGAGGAGGACTCTCTTGAAAGACCCAAAGCCATGAAAGAATGGTTTCTAAGGAGTTCAAAGTCCAGATGGCTAATTAAGAAGCTTCTAGAGAAGAACTGATGGAGAACTGTTTGGAAACAGTATGTTTAAGTGGGCTTTGGGATGAGAAGAAGTGTTAAAATAGAATAAGGGAAGGCAGTTGGAGAGAAAAAGTCTCATGGTACTTCTCCTGAAAACACCTAAGAAGGTCCAGTTCAGACATACAAACAGAGCAAAATCTGACCAAGAGTCTCTGAAGCCAAGAGGCAGGTCAGTTTCTTGGAGAAGTTATGTCAAACTCAAGGAATCAATTTGATTCAGGAAGAGAACCAAAGCATGAGAGGGTCTGTATGT